ATGGGGCCCCTTGAAAATAGACACCTTTCACCCCTAATATAAAGAAGCAGAAGGTGTCATTCATATATATATATAAAAAAAAGCAAAATAAAAAATGACACTATTTTGATGTCCTTTTCCTATTTTGTTGAGGCGTAGTTGACAAAAATTGTTTATATTTAAGATGCGCAATTTGGTGCTCTGATGATCTGTATACATTGTGAAATATTCACCACAATCAAGCTAATTAACATATCATCTGATGATCTGTGTACCTTGTGAAATATTCACCACAATCAAGCTACTTAACATATCCATCACGTCACACAGCTACTTTGTTGTTGTTGTTGTAGTAAGAACACTTAAGATACTAATCTAGGGGTCCTGAGCTAGATGTCACACAGCTACTCTGTTGTTGTTGTTGTAGTAAGAACACTTCACTTAAGATACTAATCTAGGGGTCCTGAGCTAGATGCTCCTCATCCAGAAATAAGATCACATCATTTTCAAACAGGATCGGCTTTAGGGTAACCTTATAAACGTGAAAAAAAATTTTTTGCTTAATATCACTGCTTTTCCATATGGCATAGTTTTAGGGAAAACTTTTAATTTTTAACATTGATTCTTAAGAAAATATTTGTTCTGTGCTCTCGTATAAAAGGTGAGGCCCACGATGAACCCATAGATTTGGCACTGATCACTACAAACTGGAAAACACCAATCTGAAGTGTACATTTCAAGTTCTGGTGGTTTTTATTCTGCACAAGCGCACACTGTTAGGCCGCCTACCGAGTCCTCACGCTCCCAGCTCTGTGAACCTCTGTCTATGGCCTTTAAGGCAGGACTTGTGAGGGGTGGGGGTGGGAGTGGAGTTAGCGTCAGCCTAGTAGAAGGCAGAGTTGTCTGAGGATGTGGGCGAGCTGTGTTGGCCTGTGTAAGCAGAGGTGCCTCCAGAGGTGGGTGGCCACCCCCCTTGCCACCTGGAGTAGATTTGGACTCTCCTGGAGCCCGGAGAGCCCTGATCCTGTGGTGGCCGAAGGCTGAGGAAGGAACAAGCCAGCTTTGCCCCCAAGTTCTGCCAGGTACGTGGCAGAGGTCAGCCCTGTGGAGAGCTAGAGAGAAGACGGGTCCTGTGCCATCAAAGTCCTGCCAATGCCTCCTTACCCCTCACCTGTCAAGTCTGGGCAAGGATTAAATGCTGGCAATTTCTGTGGGACCACGTCCCACCTGTGTCTGTCTGGCATAGAGCAGGTACTCAACAAATGTGAGTTCCCTTTTCTCCTTGACCCAAAAGGCAGTTTGGGGGTTACTTGATGGGCTAGGCGATGCCGCTGCTTTTTCATCAGTAAGGAAACTGAAGACTCAGAAATGAGTCTTGCTCAGGAGTCCAGGAAGGGCTGGGGGCAGAGCCAGGACTAGAACCTGGGTCTTCTACATCTTGTCTTTGCTTTTCACTCCCATTGGCACATACACACGTCTGAAAACATCCCAACCAAAATAGTCACCATCCCTTGGAATTGCTTATCAGCTGCACCCAGAATTCCATCTTTATCAGTTGAATGTTTATAACCATCACCAAGAATGGAGGAGCTGAAATATAACCAACCATCTAAAAACACATTGACAGTTTCACCTTTTAGGGACCCTGTGTCCTTTTGATCCCACATAATGCTCGGGACCTTCCCTACCACAGCCCGCCAGTTCAGTGTGAGAAGGTGGTCCTGTAGCACTTAGCACTTCATCGTGGGCCTTCAAACGCCCGTGAACATCTCAGCTAACATGCACTTTTCCAAGTTAGTTTTGCCAGAAATGTCCTTAAAATTTTCCGAAAATGGCAAGATGGTTTATTTTTAAAACCTCGTTATTTTAACGCTGCATCGTTGGGTGCGATTTTTGACATCCCAGCAAAGGCAAAGCTGTGATCCCACCGGCTGCCATTTAACTTATGGTGCATTTTGTCAGATCTCATTTTATACAATATATGTGAGTTTAATATAAGTTCTGACTATACCTCTGGAGACTGTTTTTCAGGCTTGCAAAATTGTGTTGTCTGAGCTTGTGGTGCAAATAGCAGAATAGATTTCAAATCAGTGAGTTTTGGAGTCTGTCATTATCTTAGAGAGACTGTGTAGCACAGTCAGTAGAGGGCAGGCCTGAGCACCAGGGTCACAGCTGAGATTCTGTCTGCTTCCTCTCGTCTGTCTCACGAGCTCAATCTCCACACCTTTTACGTGGCCATCCTTCAGTGCAGACGCTGGGGACAGGGTGATCTGGCTCCACTCCTGGGAAACCCGAGCAGAATGTCGGCCGTGCCGATGGATAGATGGGTAGTTTTCACGTGGGCCACGTGTTAGCATCACTTGAGGAGCTTTCGAGAAATACCCAGACCTGGGGCCCCGAAGATTCCGATTCAGTTGGTTCAGGCACGTGTATTTTTTAGAGCTCTCGAGCAAAGCCCGTGCGTGGCCGGGGCTGACATCCACTGGAAAGGAGGAGAACAGAATTTGAAGTGGGTTGTTACATTCCCCCGGGCTTCTTTATGACGCTCACTTCTGGAAGAGAAGGGCAGCCACCGTTTGGCGGCACTGCCCTCTCTGGCTTTAGCTATATGTCATCGGGCTCCCAGGGCGTGACGGAACAGGGTCGGCGTGACTTCGGTAACGACTCAGAACTTCGGGTTGTTTTCAACACGATGAGACATGTCGATAGCTTGAGCTGCATTTTGACTGGCGCCTTACGAACCCCATCTGTTTTCTTATTCTTTGAAAGTTTATCTAGAATGAATGGCTTCAGACAGGCATTTCGAGAAATGTGCTTGTGTTCTCAGTTAAGGACAAAAACCAGTGGGTAAAGAGTATGTCCAAGGGGAATCGTGAGTCCTCACACGTGCTTTGGACTGTTTGAGAAGGAAGGAAATCGTATGTGTCTCTCTGTCTAGTTGGAGGCTCAGTACCTGTTTTATGGTTGATCTAACTTTGCACCATGATTAACATAAAAATAAAAGAGAAGCAGTTGTATTTCAAGAGCCCCACGGCCTGGGACTTCTCGCTGCAGACGTCCAGGGGGGCCTCACTTCCACCACCCTGAGCTGGGGCCTTTACGTTCGTGGGCTCGTTTTCCCTCTGTACCTTTGGCTCGTTCTGTGATCCCCCTTGGAACATGCTCCTTCTGCGACCCTGTCACAACCCACTTCTTCACCCCAGCCTTCCCAGACAGTCCGTTGCAAAGGGACGCTTCCGGTCATTAATGTGTGTCATTACACTTTTCCTTGGTCCCGCACGAGCTCGTGTTGGTTTCTGGTCTGCCCTGGCGAGTCCGATCACCTCACGCAGGAGCAGGCTTCTGTTTCTTTGGAGACCGACCAGGCCCTCAATGGGGACCCGTCGAATTGATTTGAAAGACTAGCCCAGAAGATCAGCATTGAGTTTTACCATTGAGTGTGTACATTTCCATCAGTTGAAGGCACTGTATTGGGGGAGGGTAGGCCAGAGAGGGGAAGGGCAAGAGTGTCCTGTTTTCTCTTGGAGGCGCTTCAGTTTGTCAGGTGACAGCTTTTATAACAAGCACGCATCAGGCCGCCGAGGTCGACCAGCATGCTTGTGTAAGCTGTCTGTGTTCTGAAGTATCTAAGCAAAGAAAATGAATTAAATGAATATTAAGAGATGCGTCTGACATGTTCGGCTTTTTACTCTAGGCAGAGTGATAGAGATCAGGCACGAGGGCATTTAAACTGAAGAAAAGACAGTTTTAGTTGAGAGAGAGAAAGTTGCCAGAGGTGGTGGATAGATATTAGTCATTCGTATTGAGACTAAACTGCTTTGTTATTCAATAATTTCAGCGCCACGGAGGTGAGCGGAGCACTTACTGTGCACCAGCCACTGAGCCGGGCACTTGGCTGGCAATGACAACGAAAGACGTGGCCCCTGCCCTTGACAGTCTTACAGACTGGTGGGTGGTAAGATGGGCTGGAGCTTGTATGTGGGTGGAAAGAAAGGCAAACAAAAAGACGTTGTACGTGTGATCTGATGATGCTCCGAGCACTGAAAGCATGTAGCAAACGCGGTTGAGACTTCAAACCACCAGCCTAAGGCGGGAATATGCAAATGCGTTCTGCTCAAGAAGGCTTTGTCACGCTGGGCATCAGTCTGGCTGGGAACTTGCACTGAAGGCTCCGAGTCCCCGAGACATTTCCGCTCCTTCTGGCCTCTTGATCCGTGATATTCTGTTCCCACTACCTGGAATGAGAATCTTCACCTGCCCCACACTCCCCAGGTCCGGCAATGTCTACTTACTGCTAAGGACCAGCTCAGGGCTCCCGTCTTCCGTGAAGGTTTCCCACAGAGCCCTTTCGTCCCTCTTCTCCCGTACTCACCAGGCTTTGCTATGCCATCCTCGCCCTGTCTGTGCCCCCCGCTGGGCTCTGACCCCTTCAGGGTAGAGATCTTACCCCCATTTCCAGCACCTGCAGCAGCTCAAACTTTTTCACTCCTGACTCCGCTGCTTGGCGTGAGACCGCAGAGCTAAATGGTTAGATTTGAGGGTAGAACTCCACGTCCCCTGTGGCCAGGCCATCCTAAAGTTGCTGTGGTGCCACACCGTTCCCGAGTCACCCGGGGCTGTTTTGTGTAGGAGACCGAGCTTGAGGCCAGCCATCGGGGGGACAGAGCGGACCCAATGGGGCCATCTCTCATTGTGGTTTTAGAGAAGCTGGACCCTTGATTTTAAAGCGGCCGCAACATTATTGCAGAGGGTGCGCCTTATGCCTTATTCTCTAGTTTCAGTATCAAAGAAGCGCTTAAGATGATGAAAAAGCATCAGGTGTAAACACAGAAGGAGCGTAAGGCCCTGTCTTTGCTACCAGCATCTTAAATGACCAGAGTGGTTTGTGCTGGATGAAACCCTCTGCCCTAGACACATGCCCCTGCGAGATTCTCGAGAAGGCCGGACACAGACTGAAACACTGTTTGTGTCCTTGGCGGGCAGTGGATGATAACGGAGAGTGTCCTCTTGTCCACCCTCAGAGTGCTGAACAGATCGCTGCGCTGTGCAGGGGTTTTAACGACGCCCAGACCGACGGCATGGAAGGAGCGAGGGACAGCCAGGACCCAGCTCCGAGGCCGCTGGCCCGCCACCTCTCTGATGCGGATCGCCTCCGGAAAGTCATCCAGGAGCTGATGGACACGGAGAAGTCCTACGTGAAGGTAGCGGAAGAGGCTGTGCGTCCTTCCTGCTCTGTCTTCCCGTCTCTGGTGGCCAGTTAGTTGTGTGTTGACGGGGGTCCCCACACTAGATCTGCCCGGGACCCTACCATGCATGAGGTGGACACACTCGCTCCTTGAAGAAATGAGTTGCTGCAGAGAAGACAGGGAAGGGCGAGAGGGTGGGAATGTTTAGGGGACTCGGAGAAAATTAATTCTCGGCTCATTTTGTTGCCAAGGTAGCTTTCACTATGGAAACAGATGTTCTAGTTTGTCATTTGCAATCTGTGGGAAGGGCATCTGTGCTGGTTAAGTAAAAGGGGGACAGAGATTACTTTAGGTGATGAGGAACCGGGGAACAACTTGTTGATAGTGACTGCTGATTCGGGCCCCCACCCCTGCCTGATGCTGGTCACTGCAGGACAGAGCCCCATGGTTGTTGTGCTCCCATCGCGTGGACGTGGCCACACATTCACGAAGGGGCAGTTGTGGAGCATCTTTAACACCCGAAGAATTCACTCATTTAACTCAGAAGCTCCCAGTTAGCGGGAAGAGAAGCAGTTTATAAGAATATGGGAGCCTGGGAAGACAGAGTTCTTCTGCTTTAAGTACGTGCCGAAGCTTCGGAACGATTTTAAGCTCACTTCACTGGCCGATTGCTGGGAGCAGCGTGGCACAGGGCGGTGGGCCGAGGGTCCAGACCTGGCTTTGCCTCGGTCTGCCGGCACAGCCTGGGGCGGTCCCCGCCACCTCCCTCTCTGGGGTCTGAGCCAGGCGTGCCGCTGTGGCAGCTCTGACATGCCAGGTCCATGAATTAAGCATTGGCGCGCGCACACACAGGCGGCTATCACCTTTCTCCACGAGACAGATCTGAGCTGCCCCTTTCATTAATGTCACCGTCATTTCGTCTGGGCTTTACCAAAGGCCTTATTCACAGCCAGCCCAGGAGAACTACCCACAGTCCGTCCCTTTGGTCCCATAGGAGAGAAAGAAAAGCTATAGAGATGACAACTTAATTTCATTTCCCATCACATCTCGTCCTGCATCTAACGTGGGGAGATGAAGTGAAAACTCGGGGAGTTCAGACACGATTTCCAAGTCATCCCATGAGCCGCGAGCACCTCTCCCAAGCAGCTCCGTGCACCCTGGGGGTTTTGAGCCCTCAGAGCCCTCCTGACATCTTGGGGACGGTCGTGGAGCTGTCCCCCGCAGGGTCGAGGGCAGAGTCCAAGGTCCTTTTCATTGCTGTTGTACTTTGCCTGCACTGGGAGGGTCCTTTCTGTGTGACGCTGGGGGGGTGCCGAGGTTACTGGGGACTAGACGGAAAGGAGGGACCCTTCTCTCTGCAGGAAACCTGCGCTTTGTTTCCTTAGGGCCCCGAGTGTGGCAGCTCCTGGGCACCCACGGCTCGGCGTGGACCTGCTCTCGGTGTGTAAGTCCCCTTGAGCAGCGTTGGCCGGCACGAGGAATGACAGCCCGTCCCTGTCTCTGACCAAATGACCAGCACTGGGTGTCTGTTGTGATTCACACACACGTCACTTTCCTTTCTTGATTTCTTTTTGCCGCTGACATGTAACACGGAGTTTTAAGCGTTCTTTACTCTAACCTGGGTCCCTGCATGACTTGTCAGCATTTGCGTGTTCCCAAGATAATGGTTCTGTAGCTTCTCCCATCTCCCTGCCGCTGCTGTGGAATGTGCCAGAGGGTTTAGCTGCGAAACAGTCAGAGGTGTCACAGGCCTGTCCACTTGCTCTCAGGACCCACACCATGAGGTTCTGGAAGCTTCCGGCTTTACAAAGCTCCGCAGGTCTAGCTTTCTCCATCTTAAAATGACGGAGGCTGAGTAGCTGACTTTGTCGCCAACTGCCTCTAGATTTTAGGATTCAGACCTCTTCAGAATTAAGTGAAACTAGAAAAAAATATTTTCTATCGCTAAATTATTCCCCAGTCTTGGCTTCAAATTATTAAATAAAAATATCCTTTATCTAAAGGATTTTGTAAATACAGTCAACTCCCACCATTCTGTACTGCCGGCTCCCAGTTTAGCGGAGACTCAGAAATGGCCTAGATGATAAGCCTGACGACAGCTAATATGTGGAGTTTTTTCCTTGCATTTGAATATGGGAGTTTGAAAATCTGCTAACATGTGAACCCCCGGAGGACAGAGCTCCCCCAGATCTTGTCCTGTTCCTCTCGGCTCCACGCTGGAGCTGTCACTGTGCTCCCTGAGGCGTCGGGGAAGCCAAATTAGCCAGCAGATGCTGTCACACCTGACAGAAGTCACCTTCTATGCATGGAGTGGAAAGAGAGGTCCTGGCTTTGCCGACAAGGTATTTCCTTAAGCAGAGTAGGAGATCGAGCTCTAAAGACAAACGTGGAATCCAGCCATTGAGTGGATGGTGGTCTTAACCTTTGCATTAGGTGAGCAGTAATAAGAGTTTTCGACGAGACAGGAACTTTATTGTCCCTAATCAGAGTGCGGAGCTGTGGCCAAGGCTGCTGGAAACGTGGGGATTTGGGAGAGTTAAGTGTTCAAGATTTTCTTCTTTTGTCTTTCAGGATCTGAGCTGCCTCTTTGAGTTGTACTTGGAGCCACTTCAAAATGAGACCTTTCTTACCCAGGATGAAGTAAGTAATCACCTCTGTCCACTGACCCCTAGGTTAGTCTTGTTAGGAACTGGGTTGCACAGCAGGAGGTGAGTGGCGGGCAGGCAAGCGAAGCTTCATCTGTGTTTGCAGCCGCTCCCCAGCGCCAGCATCACCACCTCACCTCCACCTCAGCTCCTCAGGCATTAGATGCTCGTAGGAGCATCGGTCCCTGGCGCCAGAAAGTTTGGGGACTGCTGTATATGAGATTATATCTACTAACCCCTAAAGAACACCCAAGACTTGAGGATCTGCAAAGCCATCTGTGTGGCTTCTGCCGCATGAAGCACCGTGGCAAGAGTTTACAAACATAGGACAGTCATGTAGGTGTGACCAAAAGAACCTTTTTAATTTGTGACTTTTTAATGTTAAATCACAGTAATTAGTTCATTTCTACTGAGTTTCATTTTCCCCCGATTTGAATTCTGAAAATTTTACATCCATTTAAAAAGTTATTTTAGAACTATAGGGACCAGAGCTGGAAAACTCTGTATAAATTGTATCCCATAATGAATGTGCTATCTTCTTTAAAGGATTTACTTCTGTCTACTTCTCGGTCAATGCCTTGTGGTTTATCTAGGCATCTGAGAGAGTGGCATCTAGACAGTCACCGCTAATACCTTCTTTTCACATCCTCATCTTCACATAGATGGAGTCACTTTTTGGGAGTTTGCCAGAGATGCTCGAATTTCAAAAGGTGTTTCTGGAGACTCTCGAGGATGGGATTTCAGCCTCCGCCGACTTTAACGTACTTGAAACCCCCTCGCAGTTTAGGGTAAGTATTTGAGACTTACGTTTAAAGCCAAAATTGGTGGCTACGCTGCAGAATTCTCCCTTGAAAAGGGACTCGTTGGCTCTTGACTATTGACACTATAAATTAAGTGCATTCGTGGCACCGTGTTCTTCTGGCAGGCGGTAAAGGAAGGCCACGTTGTCGTCCGAGGGTCAGTGCTTCTGGGCAGTCAGGGGTCCGGGCAGCGGGGCTCGTGTGGCAGTTGTCTGGCTGTCGACCACATTTGCGGTTTTCACTCAGCTCTCTTGAAGGGTGTATAGGGAGACCGCCTCCCAACCAGGGGCATCGACCGCGTCTGATTTGTCATCTGCGTGGTCGTGGGACACTAAGACGACACGCATGGGTCCATTGTTCTGAGAGCCTTCTCTTCTGTGCCGCCTGTTTCGGCAGATGGCTCAGAGCCCCTCCGGGGAGGCAGAAGGAAGGGACACGGGACTGTCCAGACAGCATCGCCCACCCCCAGCAAAGCGGAGTCTCTCAGATCATTTATATCCCACTTGGTCAGGTGGATTCCTGTAGAGCTTCTTCTTGTCCTTCGATCTCTGTGAGAGAATTTTCAATCCAACTGCAGGTCTGCGGGGGGAACGCCAGGCTGTTCTGTCTGCTGTGCAAACGGGGCAGGCCTGAGTTTGTTTTAGTTGTCGACGGAGGCGCTAGTTCTCTGGCATCTGAGAGACACACCCCCCGGAGATGCCAAAGCAGTCATGTGCCACGCCAGAGCCCAGCAGACACTGACTAAACCACGTCTGATGCGACTTCTCCCTCCTTTTCTAGAAATTACTGTTTTCCCTTGGAGGCTCTTTCCTTTACTATGCAGACCACTTCAAACTGTACAGCGGATTCTGCGCTAATCATATTAAAGTACAGAAGGTTCTGGAGCGGGGTGAGTTGCTCGTTTCTTTTATAGCTGGGCTTTGTGTATTTTTAAGTGTTAGCAACGAGTAAATTTGTATTTAACAAGTAGGAATAAGTGTCGTTTTAATGAATCATGTGCTATTCTTGACCTTGACTTTGAAAGACATTAAAGGGAAAATTTTTCAGTTCAATTTATTGGTAACAGTGAACACGTGTCCTGAACGCAGAGATGTTGTTTTGCCATGTGTCACTTTGCCGCTAAACTACACGTGGATTCTTTTTTTTTTTCTTGCCACATTCCATAAGCTGAAAACTGGGAACCATAAGCCCCTGAATGGGGTAGAAAGGCATGTAGGCCATTTTCTTTCTTTCTTGTTAACCTTCCTCTTAAGCCCGAAAAACTACTGTAAAAACTCACGACCGACCAACCACCGTCGAACTGACTAGAAGCGCGCTGACTGAAATGAAAGCCTCTTTGATAGAACTGGGGAGGAAAACGCACATTTGTCGCAGCTCACATCCTGTCACTGAAGCAGCTTTCGTCTGTCCTCGCCTTTATCATCTGTCTCTATTTCACTGGCTTCCGTGGGAGACTTTCCCTTCTTCCCGTCCGCTGGACCTGGCTGGTCAGCCCTCGCCACTCCTCGCCCTCACGCCCCGGCAGACCGCCCTCCCTGGAGCCGAGGGAGGTGCCTGAGCTTCGGCCGCTGCCTGGCAGCGGGTCAGCGTGTGGGCAGACGGCCAGAACATTGACCCGCTCCGGCCATCAGGAACAGGCCAGTGGGTCAGTGCAGCCTGGAAAATTACAAAGATCCGATGACGGCCGTGACCTTCTTTAGGAGAGGCAGGGCTGGCGGGAGCTTTCGTGCTGCGGTCACCATCACCGCGTCATCGACCTGCCGTCCCATCCGGTCCTGTAACAGCCTCAACCAGGAATGCTCGCCTGTGGCCGTTCTGGTACCCAAGGCTGCTTTCAGTCTCCACGCTGCTCTGTAGAGACGAGATTAATGTTCTCAAATGTCTGTCTCGATGTTTTCCTGCCCTGTTCTTCGGAATTCCCATTTCCGGTGGCAGAGACAAGAGGAGGGTGCATCACCCAGGCAGGCTCAAGACTCGAAGACTCGAAGCTCCCGACCGTGCGCGGTGGCGATTCAGCCCTCGGGACGAGCTCGGACGGCACGGCCTTCGGGAGCCTGTCCCTCCCGGGCTCCTGCCCTGGAAGGCGTCTTCTGAAAACACGGGCTGTGCCAGTCAGGTTCATCTGAGCTGCCTCTGGTCTCCAGAAAAGGCCACCGGGTCACCTGTATTCTCTCAGGTGTACTTGGGAAAAAGATAGGAACCTACCGAAGCTGGGAATGTTGCTACTGTAAGTTTCCAGGATAAAATGACCTCTCTCGGGCTCTGAGTGCCTTCTTCAAATCAAGCCCCACGTGATTCGTTCCCGCTATGCTTTGCCACCTCTTGAGATGCCAGGGGACCATGGCTCCCTTCCATGACAACAGAAAACTTTCGAGGAGGGTTCTGAATTGGAACTTTTTAAATTCTGTCAACAGGATATTAGCAGCCACGCTAAATTCCAAGCCCCTTTTTCTGTCTGTCATCAAATGCTTCTTAAAGGCATGGCCGGAAGGGGTCTGGAGTTTGCTTTTCAAGGATTCTCAAAACCAGGAAAAGGTCTCTGCACGCTTTCACGGAGGACACGCGGAGTTTCTCCCCCACGGATGGGGTCTCGCCAGTTCTGCTGACGCAGTTCTGCCGACGCAGTTCCGCCGTTGGGTTTAAATCCAGAGCTCCATGGTATCCTGGAGGCACAGGCTCAAGTTTGAAAAATGGAGTCCCGAGTGCATCGGGTTCAAGGTCCAGCCAAAGTCTCTCTTCTCTAGTTCTTTAAACAGAGGTCTGACTCCGTAGGGATTCCCTCCCGGGAGATTTCTGTATTGACACATACAGGAAAATAAACGCGTACCAATGGTTTGCTGCTCAGTTTCTCTGTCACGAAGGTGAAGGATTGTCTCACCATGCACTTTGTCTGGTGGCCACGTTCAAAATGCGACTGCCTCTCCTAGAAGTTGTAGGTTTCGGCTTTGTAGCAAACCCCCAAATGAAGGAATCTCTTCACTCAAATTGGCTGAATCCCAAACAGCTGATCAAACCAGTGCCAGCGGGTGGGATCCGAGCAGCAGCCGGGAATCCTCTGGCACTGTCAACACCAGACACACTCGGACTGTGTGCACCCTTCGTGACGCTGACACCCTACGAACTGAGGCGGGTTTCAGTGCCCATAGGGTCAGGATGTCACATCTGGTGGAGGCTCCTCGGAGCAGGTGAAACCCGAAGTGCTTATTAACTAACTTATGTTCAAGGGGGAAAAAAAGATATTGCTTTATGAATAGCCTTAAGTGTATAGATAATTTGCATCAGGACACTGGAAAAAAATACTGGTATATTTTGCTACAAGAATATTTTTGGATAGGATGGTGTAGAATCTGGATAACATTGTTTTGTGGCTTTATGAATTGTTTGAAACTCATTTTTTAAGTACCTGTAATCTCTCTCGCGGGTCTGCATCTAAATGCGCCTTTAAGAGCAGGCTTTCCTGCATTTTGACTTGGTGGCCCTCTCTAGTGTGTAGACTGGACTATTCCGGCAGCCTGGTAAGCTCCCTGTGCCTGTGAGATTTGTCACAGCCGTGACGCGGAATCCAGGTTGACAGCTGGGTGCTTGACCCACTGGTGCATTTGGGTTTTTATTCAAGAATGGCATTAAGAAGGCTATAGAAGTGGACGATCTATAACTCTATTAAAAACTAAATGAAGTAGAATTTAATTCCCCCTGCTGTGCTCTTCTAAGGCTCTTTCATCCCTCTATTTGTAGCGAAAACTGACAAAGCCTTCAAGGCTTTTCTGGACGCCCGGAACCCCACCAAGCAACACTCGTCCACGCTGGAGTCCTACCTCATCAAGCCCGTTCAGAGGGTGCTTAAGTACCCGCTGCTGCTCAGGGAGCTCGTGTCCCTGACGGACCACGAGAGCGAGGAGCACTACCACCTGACAGGTGAGAAGCGAGGGCGCACGGGCCGCAACGGGACTGACGTGCCTGGCCGGTCCCCTCGTCCCCTGCTTAGTTTCACATTCTGAAACATTTCTCAGTCGTGCGATTGTTCATGGTAGACATAATTTTCATTATGTGAAAACCGCTACATATGTGGCCACCCCTTTAGATGGGCGAAATACTTGGCAAAAATGCTCTCAGTGGGGTGACCCCGAGGCCCTGTGTGTGGTGGGGGACAGGTCCATTTTCACTTTCACAAGAAGGTAATTCAAGTTCAGTGATTCAAAATAAATGAACTCGGGTCACTTAGTAAGCAGTGCTGTGAGAACCGAAAGTCTGGCCTGATTTTCCACCTCCCCGTGAGGTTTCGTGCGTTTTGCTGCCCAAAGCGCAGTCGGATGTGTTGGGCGAGGCTCCACCTTGTGGAAATCCCTGAGCAGAGCCGGCTCCGAACCCCTGCTCCTCACGGCTGACTCCATTTAAAGTTGGTGCCGATGTGTCTTCTTTTGTCACCTCGGAAATTAATGGCCCACGATACGCTTTGTCACATACACAGAGCCCCTCGATTAGAGAGTAAACAGACTATCCCTTAAAGAGATGCTGTTTGGATGAGACAGAAATGGCACGTTCTCTGCATGTCACAGCTCGGAGGCCCAGGGGAGCCACACGCCATGAAAAACTTATTAATAAATGTTAGTATCACCAAATAATAAACTGAGAAGAATGTAAATCAAACTGACTCTTTCACCATGACAGCAAACTTTTGTATTATAAGGAATGAAGACAAAATATTTTTTTACAAATTTTTATAAATTTTACAAATTTCTATATGTAAATGATACAAATTATGCTTAGTAGCGATAACTGTGTAGAAAGTTGATTTTGCATCAAGGTGATCTTTAAAAGGGTTCTGTTAAAAACTACCTTCCCAAAACTCCCTCCAGACTGAATTAAAATACTGAGTCAGAGGAACAAAGTATGGGGTGACCCAAAAGTTTGCTTTTCGACTTTAACAAAATCATCTTGTTCCTCACAGGCCTGTGTAAAAAGTTATAAATACCATGCATAAAAGCAAACAATTTCTCTGGCAGTTAAGCATCTAGAGACATTTGTATGTTCTTGCTAAAAGTTGTTGTAGTTCACAATTCCAGGAGCTGGTCCAGGAGGAGAGGCAAAACTGAAGGGCAGGTGCTCGGTGACCAGTCAGTCTGGGGTTTGAATTCTGGCTCCACTCCTCTCTCTCTTTGGAAGTCTGGCAAAACACCAAACCCCTCTGCACCTCAGTTTTCTCATCTGTAAAATGGGACTGATTACACTTCTTACAGACATCTAGTTATTGTGAGAAATGAATGACAGAAATTACATAGCACATGCCAAATAGAAAGTGCTCAACCAATGAGCTGTTATTATTAGTGATGCTTTTTGCTTACGTTCTTAACGTACTGCCTCCTTTCAGAGAATTCGAGGTGGAAGATAATTCTGTTCTTCGCCGTAATGACTAGGTTATACTGGGCCGTTTGAGTCCTGCATGGTGCTGCTGTTAGAACTGGTCTTGAATCCTGGCTTGACTCTTGAGCTTTTTCATTACTGCTGTTGGATAGGATTTAAAACAAATTGTAAAACAAATTTGATTTCATATTTTGCAGAAGCACTAAAGGCAATGGAAAAAGTAGCAAGCCACATCAATGAGATGCAGAAGATATATGAGGATTATGGGACTGTGTTTGACCAGCTCGTAGCCGAGCAGAGCGGAACAGAGAAGGAGGTTGGTGGGACTTCTGCATCTTGAGATGCTTAGTGCACGTGCTCACTGGGTCTGTGGGTGACTTCTAGACTAGGCCACCCCGTCAGAAGGAGAAAATGCTTAAAATGTTCTTCATGATCTTAATGCTTGTAAGCCACACGGTTTAGGCATAAATGTAACATAAAACTCATTGCATAACATAAGGTTTAAAAATGTATCCTTATGTTCACATTATACAAAAGAAAACAAGGTTACTACCTCCTCCTCCTATCCTGTGGGGCATGAGGTGAGAACATCCCAGAGGCTGGAACAAATATGCAGAGTATGAGCTGCAGAAAGAGGGTGAATAAGGAAGTGGGAGCCAGCATGTGGTGAGAATCTAGGCCTTCTCATTTATTTTTCATTTTTTAGCATCAAACAACAGTGGCTACCTCCTTACTTATAAAATCAGTTTAAGTGGAATTTGACAATTTCGTTTTCTTCTGGCTGGTTACTAAATTTGAAACTTTGAGCTTAAAGTCTACTATAAGAAGCAATATAGTTTAAGTAAAAAAAGACAAGAACAGAAAACAGCTGGAGTTTTTTTTTTTTATTAGTCAGTTTCAGCGTTGGTATTTTTTATTAGCATGCCTAGTGTAGTGTATGGATTACAGACGGTAACTGCATTAGATCCTGTGGGAAAGGATAAAAGAGGCACTTTGGATGAAGCCCGACACTGGTGCAGTTGATGCCTCATCCAGAGACGTGTTTCACTCACATATACGTGCACTGAGGCAAAATGCTTTCGCATTTGTTATTTTTCAAACAGTTTGATGCTTGGCTCATATTTTCAAAACCATATATATATGGGATTCAGGATCCAACATGGAACCACTTCTGAGGGACCCACGTCTTCTTCATCTCCTGTTTTTTACGATTTAGGTAACGGAACTTTCAATGGGGGAACTTCTGATGCACTCTCCGGTTTCCTGGTTGAATCCGTTTCTGTCTCTAGGAAAAGCCAGGAAGGACTTGGAGCTCACAGTGTTTGGTCAGTATTCCGTCCCAAAGGCCGTACACCGAGAGAGGCTGGCAATAATGAACTCGCTAAGCTCACCGGTCCAGCTCACTTCTGATTTCCAGAGGGGTTAGAATCACTGCTGTAATGGTTTCTGAGTTAACACAGCCAGCCTCCAGTTACTTAAAACGCCATCGCTCTGCATACTCATTCTCTGGTTCTCCCGAGGCTGTTTTGAAACCTGCCATCTTAATCGTTCGCACATCGTAATGTCTTCTGAGAGCCGGCACAGCACAGACAGACAGTGTATTCTCTCTGAGATGAACACCATGTTTGTAGCCTTCAACAAAACAAGAATTTTTTAAAAAGATGTCAGGGTCCACTTCAGATAATAGCTTTTAAGTAAGCAGGTACTTCTGCACAGTTCAAATATGAACAGAAAGAAGTAGCGTTCATCACTCATGTGCTGATACAGGGGGATCTTGGAGCTTCCTAAGTTTGAAGAGCTTTGTTCTATTACAACATCAGGTCTAATTCAACCTCGGAAGAGTTTGTATAAAATAACTAAATCCTTTCCTTTCTCTTTCCTTTAGTTTTTAAGAGAGCTGTCATACTGGTTTATAAAGAAAACTGCAAACTGAAAAAGAAATTGGTAAGACAAGAATTAATTTTAATGAAAGCTACTGTTTCACGGCTGTATCTTCCTATTAATGTGGAACTGAGAAGCCAGCTAAGCACCCAGGCCTCTCTGATATTATGATACTACGTATCGCTAGGGTAACTAACCAAATCCAGTACTCAAGCTATTCCTTATTCTCCCCAGAAGCTTTGTTTTAAAAGAAACATAATCAGATACCCATGCTGGGGCCTACATAGAAAATCAGCTTTTTTATTCCTGAAAATGGCCCGGGTTTGCTCCACATGAGAGCCCGTGTAACTTTGTTTTCAAATGACTTTGACCTTGACTCCAAAAAAAAA